TCATTTTTCAAAGTAAAATTTTCACAAGAAAATCAGACAGTCGTTTAAAAACGTAAACATTAGTAATACTTTTACTAATTCTAAGATCAGGTTTCGTAAATCTATTCACGAAACTATATTGAAATCGCGGCAATAATGATGCAAACCAACAGATAACAATTTCAAAGTGTCAAATCTATTCGACTCGAGCTCAGCTCAGCTGAACTCACACACACACACACAGTGTAACTCCAGAAAGCTCGAACACCGGCGCCGCAGGCCTCGGACGCCTGCGGTGCGCGGAGCCGGTGTTGGAGCTTGCTGGAGTTAAATTGCAGCTCACACACACTGCACAGCAGCACTGCACTGACTAAAGGCAGCTTGCGACTGAATTGTCAGTCCAATGGTTTTCTTGTGAAAACTTTCCTTTAGAAAATGATAATCAAAATTTAGTAGCATGGCCGTAATAATCACAAAATAAGCTTTCATTTCATACCTCCATTCACGACACCTATATAAAAATCGCGGCAATAATGATGGAAATAGGTCCCTAAGTTTGGACGTGGACGGGAAGCTTCGTGTGTATCTCTGTGGCTCGTGCAGCTACTATACAATGGATATCCTATAGAAAGATGCTTTACTCGGGTAAGCCCGACCCTGTGCGTCGTGCATTTAATACGCAACTTAATGTGAGTGGACAGTCATCGGTCGTGTGTCTACGGATGTCATGTTGAATATCCATGAGGTATCTCTGTCGTCACGCATATCCTGCATTATGCATGTCGCGTCTGTTTTCGCCCTGGACGTCGACACGGAGGAGGACCTCGGGCGGAGTATAGCCAATTCGCTAGAGTAGACTCTCCCGCGGACGACGGCACCGGTCACCGGTACCCGAGGGGAGGGTTCAGGAGGAGATAGCTGCACCAACTTGGGTCGGCGATCTCATTAAAAAACAATAGAATACAAAGGCTGGCGGAGACGTCGCGCCCCCCGCGGAGCCTTAGCGTATTACTATTATAGAAGTTTCTATGCGCTTTGAATAAAAGGGTAGAATGTTGATAACTTTAATTTCAGAGATGATTACAAATGCAAAAATATGTTAGAGATATATCAACGGTATACTACAGATAAGAGGGGACATGCACATTAAACTGAAGAAGCAGCAAATAACAAATTATCATATTACATTTAATCATAGGTCTTTAAAAAATAACAAAATTAACAATTATAGAGAAATATATGATGACAACGAAGTGATAGGCTACAGAACGGAGCAAAATATGATAAAGATATGAGAAGCAGTTTTTATAGATTAATTCCAGCCAAACATATCTTCGCTCAGCTGTGATTATTAAGGGCAGGTATAGGGAGGTGCGTTGACATGGATCATAGCAAAAAATTATTCTAAATAGTGGTTTTATGTGCATGGAGATTGGAGACACACCCATTTAGTGTACCCTTGGTATTTAGATTTCTTAGATTGAGAGTTCACACGGCTTCCATTTATTTTCAATAGTGATTTGATGCATAGTGTGACCACAGGTCTCGTTCGCTTATTTTCAGAGGTTCACACAAACCATGAAAAAACTTTGTACTTTGTAGAGAAGTACAATGAGAGATAAAGTACATTGTACTAAAAAGATCAAAAAGGAAATTAAAAGAGAGAAATCTACTGCTGCTTCCCACTAAATCATAACGATGCAAATGTCACTTTTACTAAATACTGCTAAGACTAAATTTTAAAGTGGTCCAATTTTCATGAATGCTTGGGACTGCGGACTGCACAAAGCATAAAGTTTGGATATGCTTAGCCGAAGCGGGTGAAAGCAGTAATGAGCTAGAAGACTACAGATGATCTCCTCAGGAATGGCCTTTTCAGACTACAGATAATTTATGCAGAACTTGTAGCAAGAAATTTCATATAAAGTATCATAGTATAGCGAAAGCAGCATACAGACTGAAAACAACAAAGTGTAAAAAACGTAATTATTAAAACTAGTTTTTAAGAGGAAAATTGACATTCGACAGCCGCTAATCATTGCTGCTTGCTCACGATAAGGCCTGCCCAGTTACAGAATAAAGAAATGTCATATTATCAAACTTATTTTGAAGTGGTCAATTGGCATTTAACAGTTGGCCAATCGTTAGTGAGCGCTTATGATAAAGCCCGCCCAGTTTAAAGCTGATCTGCTGTAGTTTACAGGAGGGATTAGACTGCCCTGCAAGGTCACTGGACAGATGGTTATCTCATCAACTCAGCTCTCAGTTAACATAAGAAAAAGAGGATCATGGGGGACCAATGGTCACCGATTAGGCATTGTTTGTGATATAGAGGGCGCAAGTAGCTACAAGTAGTGCAGTGGGCCTTTAAATTTGTGTACATTATGACATTCAGACTAAAACAGGACCATGATTTTGTTTGAGTTTTCATTCAAAACAATGGTCGAACAAGCATTTTTGCTTTACAATATTCTGTTACACAACGTCTCTTTAAAACAATTTTTACACTTCAAAAAAGGTAATCACTTGTATAGCTATAGCTTATAAACGATAAGTTAGGTAGTCTGAACATGGGTTTAGCCGAGGCAGATGGAAGCACTAATGAACTAGATGACTGCAGATGATCTCTCCGTGCTACGCAAGGAGGAGAACGTCACACAATTTTCTGGCTAATTTCAAGCCAGACACGAAGGCAGCTTGTCACATAAATCTGAACGGCGCTACTCTTACTACGACGAGTACTCACTCCGTCCGCGAAGCAAAGGAACGCCAGCCACTGACAGAGACAAAAGGATCGAGACCGGGGATGCCCGAAGGCACCACGATTTTGACAATTTTGTTTTTATTGTGATTGATGCGGTGAAGATATATCTGGGCTGTGGTTATGCATATCTACGCGGAGAGCCCTCAGATCGTGGGCAAGCACACTTTCAGAATTGTCTCAATCAAGAGCGTGGTTACGTTTCAAGAGAAAATTGGGCATTGGTCATGCTATTACCGGTAATACAGTGCGAGTGGATCATGTATACTGTGAGGTTTTGGAATGATCAAAATGAATAGAAATTGACTCAATTATTCTTGCTGAAAATCACATGCCCTTTTTGCACTGCACACAGAAATGGGTATATGGGACAACACAAGAATGTAACATGAAAGTTTCCCAACATTTCAGGCACATCTTGCCATATTTTTATATGAGGGCATTTCACGAGCAAATATTTAAGGGGACATTTTCACTAGATATAATTCTTCCAAACTCACATAGAAAGAATAAGAACGCTCACAAAATATATTCCCTTTTCACAAAGCACAACTTTCTCTTTAAACCTAAGGGTATTGCACCGCATTCTATATCTTGGGGGCATCCAGATGAAAGATGACCCCCATGTTCAATTATTTTCCGTGAAAAATTAACACTTGCATCTCCCGAGATGGTCAAGATATCTGACCTTGCCATCGTTGAGTCAGTTTGGATGAGGGGTGGTCAGCTCAATCATCTTATGATATTCCATTGATCGAGCCATCGCAAGGGAAAATGTCTTTTTATTGAAAGATTCACTAGGCCTGTCTTCATCAGCTTGAGATTGCCAAATATCCCGCTATTTGAACTATCCCGATCGCAAATTATCCCATTAATTTGTGTTTTCATCAGCCCGAAGTTGCAATTAGCGGGATATTTGGTCGAGATAATCATCCCAAGATATCTTGGGCTAGTTTACAAAATATCCCGCTATTTTTCCGGTGCGTCGTCACCAGCCCGAAGACTCACATTATGCGCGAACGCTGAGCAAAATATCTCAAGCTCGAGTTTCAAGGTCAAGTCTCCAGCTGATGAAGATAGGATTTGTAACTTCTGGATTATTTCCCAAATCAGAAATAGCGGACTATTTGGCAATCTCGAGCTGATGAGGACAGGCCTAATGACACTTATTTGACAGGTATACAAACTATACATACACAGGATTATAATCAGGATTATAACCATTCATGGTATATAGACTTTGAATAAAAAATCATTTGTAATCTTTGTTTTTAGCAACAAATACAGACATACTAAAACTTCTTCAATTTTGTAACTTACCAAACATCTTTTATTTTAAATCATATTTGTTACTGCTAATGATGTTATTTGCCTTCAAGAGTAACTTAATGAATGGTCATCTTCAGAATAATCTCTAATACATGTACAGTCATATCGTCGCTGTTTTCACGAAGTGACGGTAGTGAAAAAAATGCATTCACTTTGCGTTACGATTTTCCTCACTACCGTCACTTCGTGAAAACAAGGACGATATTTGTCTAAACAGTCATTAAAATATAATTTTACTAATAGCTTTGAATGAAAACAAACAGTGGTTATTAACATAACGAACATAGTACAGTCACTCGTGACATTTTCAGAAGAGAAAAAAAAGATGAAAGGCTCAATAAAATTTTGAATTCCTCTCAGAATTTTTTGAAGAAATGCCTTTACATCAAGGGACACAGATAATGAAGGAGGGAGGAAGAAAGAGAGAGTGGGAGGGACAGGGAGTGAGGGACGGGACAGGGAGAGAGAGAGAGAGAGAGAGAGAGAGAGAGAGAGAGAGAGAGAGAAGAAGAAGAAATGAGAGACAGATTTTTTGTTTTCCCATGAAAGTCTCAGCTTGAAAATGGTCGCAGATGGCAAAGCAAAATCAAATACAATGCCAAGCTGAAGAAACATACCCAAGTAATATTGAAAGATGATGAGAGATTAATTGCCTCCATGATTTCTGTGTCAGTCATGTTTAGAGAAACCAGGGTTGGTTGTGGAATGATGGTTGTGAGAAAGAGAATGGGGAGGAGGGGAGGGGGTGGACACGATAGGGGAGGGGGAGGAGGGGGGGGGGGAGCAGGTTGGTAAAAGTGGATAGAGTGTGAAGGGGTACATTTGAGGGGATGAAATATATTTGGCAGGATAAATGTACATACATTTGAAAGTACTGCAGTTATGAGTATATCAACACATTTTGTTTTCATTGACAGTGTTTTTTTTGGGGGGGGGGGGGATAAAAGGGAAATGCCTGTCAATTTCAACAGAATGCTTACAACAGCCTGTACAGCAACTAAAATATAATAATTGACAAATTTGTGTACAATATAGAATGTAATGAATACATTTCTCTGGCAGAAAACAAAAGGGCTCCTTGCAAAAATGAAACTGCATATTACAGTTCAGTTTATCAGTTTCATCAGTTAGGAACATTGTTATCTACATCTGTAAACTAAAACAAAAGTTTTACCATAAAAAAAAAGTAAAATGCAATTTCAAACTTGATTGAACCTGAACTGCATTTAATTGGATCTTTGTTCAAAACAAAAGCAATTGAATCAATTGTACCTGAACTGCATTTAATTGGTTCTTTGTTCATAAAAAAGCAATTGAATCAATACACAATTGTATCAGCGGTATCTCTTTATAACCAGAATACTTTGATCAAAAGCAAGATGGCAGCCGGGGACAATTGTGACCAAAAACCAAAGGCCTCTATTCTGCGGCAAACCAATTCAATCAACAAAATACATAAGCCCTCCACGAGAGGGAATAATTTGAAGAAAGGGTGAGCCACGAATATCGCTCTTTATTTATTATTGAAAGATCTATTCACTGGATAATAGTCAATATGTATTAATATAAGACCCATTTACACTACAGAAAAAACTAATTCAAACTACCATTTATGATACTGGAAAAACCGATACAAATATATGTCAGTGCTGTATATTCCTATTATATTCTGGTGTATTTTGTCAGTTGTGCACATTCCCGATTGTTGATGCTCTGCATGTGTTAACACAGTAGCGAGAAGAGTCACGTGGCAAAAAAAAAGAGGACTAATTTACTGGTGCTTTGAGAGCCAGCATTTACACAGCAAAAACTGGTGTTGTTTCCAGCGTTATAAAAAAAATTCTCCAGAGATGGGTTCTCCGTCATGTTCAAGGTTTAATAGTCGCCTAGCAACTCCTGACTTTATGAGAAGAAAAAAAATGTTTGTTTTTGCTTGCAGTGTGAATGCCCCCATTATAAATGCCTTGCTGCGGTAGGATATATGGTATCTCTGAAATGAAAAGAGAATATCTCTTGCTGCTGATCGTCAATGCTAGGGGACCACAAATCACTTTCGATATTGGATATTGCATTTATGGGGGTTAACTGTAATAGGACAGAATACAAAATTGAATTACTCAATAGCCTAACTTCCAGGTAACATTATTTTTCTTCCTACTGATAAATTGGGATCAACAAAATCTAGAGATTAAGATTTGCATTTTGATCCTTCATTATTAATACTATTTAAAAAAAAGAAAGACTGGGAAATAAAATAATGGCAGAAAAAGAATAAATTATTCATACTACTGATCCGAATTAACTTTTCTTTGCTCAGAAGGAGAAGAAACTTGGCCTAAAAGTCAGACATTTTCTCTGACACATCCAGTCTCTAGATACCATGAGAGGCTTATACAATACCCTGCATTCTATTAAATGCGTACCAATGTAAATTAACATTAACACTACCTCTCGGTATTGAATTAACTGAAAAATTCTTTTGATTTGAACAAAAAACATAATGATTACCGGTAGCTGATATTAACAACAATACCTCAAAGTGTGTTGCCCATCTTTAAAGGTAAAGACCAGTATTGGGAATGCCCCAATTTCAAAAAATGAAATGGAAGCTCTCATTACCAATCATGTAAAAGAATATGTTTTGACTAATACATGATGATTACAAATTTGCCAGGAAATTGCCTACTAATCCATATATTTGGTAAATTTGTTTCTCTCATGGTCTGTGAGAGATATAGGGTAGTCCCATATACATCTTTCTGTGTATAGTGCTTGTAACTTTACGAAGAATGGGCCAAATTTCTTATCATTTTGATGATTCCAGAACCTTGCAGATGCTAGATGCTAGATGATCAACCTTTTCTGATCGATTCCACAACGTTTCTTTCACAATGCAATCGCATGACCATAACTGGTCTTTACCTTTAATTATCGACTACATACATGTAGATGGAAAATGGGGCCAAAGTAGATGCACATGTCTCTCTCACTTTCAACATATGGGCATCTTTAACAAGTCAAACAGTACGTTATGTACCTGGCACATTATTCTCGCATGCCACTTCTTGTCAACTTAGCCTAATTTATACCATCAAAACTCGATAAATCATCAAAAATTTGCAAAAACACCAGATGTTTGTAGAATATGTGTAGCAAGAATTCGGATCAGGGACTCCTTTTCAGGAATTTATCCCCAATTTTTCCTTTACACAGTGTACTTGTACTTTGGGGTTATCCAACACGATTTGTGGACCATTTTTTTAAAGTACCTAGTACCTACTGTACATGAATGACAGCTTGGTTATTAAATCGGTTGACTACAAGTTACACTGACAGCACGTACAAAAGAAAATATATTCGCCATACGGAGGAGGCTAAAGCTCTCTCATTTTTTTCCTCAATTATTTCCTCTCTGACTCTTTACAAACTGACACTCCATATGTGACATTCAATATTGGATTTTATGAAGTGTTGTTTCGGGGATGGAATACAAAATGGAGTTGTGGCGGCCGGGGATATATGTGATATGACAACAGAATCAATCAAAAGGCACAGAAACATATTGATCATGCACAGAAAAAGCAACAAAAGGTCAACGTGAAAATAATATAGCTAGTCTGGCGATTCATACTATGTATTAAAGTCATGATGTGGGGATGTACAAAGATACAAATTGATTAATAACTTTCCATTCTTTTGCAGTTGTTTTCAAAAGCTGAATTATCATATTCATCAATTTAAGATGCACATACAAAGAAAGTTATCTTTATTTCATTATAAGACTTGTAGCAGTTTAGGGGCAAATCATTCTTTTTCTTTTGAATAACTGCTTTTGTTATCATTAAAATCACAAATAATCAAACAGCCTTTAGACAGGATATGTCAATATCTGATTACTGTACATTAATGAACTAAAACATTAACATTCAGATGTCAGATGGCAATAAACCTGTCTATACTATCTATTCCACTATAACACTGCTACACACAAACATTTTTTCTTTCACGGGGGGGGGGGGGGGGGGGGGGGGGGGGGGGAGGCTCACTTACACACCAACTTCATTTATTCATTTATTTTGTTTGGGGGGGGGGGGGGTCTGGAATTAAAAACTTTGGGGTCAATATATGTACTGGCTTCCTGTCGGTGTCAAACCCTGCATCATGATATATTTCTTCGGTTTTTATCTTTCAGGACATCCTGGTAGAATTAATGAAACCCCCTCGAGACCAAAAGGCAGGACCAACAGACAACGAGACCAACAGTCAATGCAGCCAATGAGTTTCACAGCCCACAAGACAGATAATCTCGGTCTCATAAACTCAACAAAAAGTTGTCACAAGGCTGGCAAGACCGACATGTCGGCCTCGTGAACCCCCCGACGACTTTTTCGTAGACCTGTCGGACCGACACTGTCAACCTTATGGACTGTCAGTCTTATGGGTTGTCTGTTTCATGGCCTATCGCTGGTCTTGTGGGCCTTTAATACTTCTACATGTAGACACTTGTTTGAACAAAGATATGGAAATGTTCCAGGGAATGTTGGATTTGATTGATTCTACAGCTTTCCTTCATGCGGATATGATACATCCTTTTATCAGGGTCAAATGAGTTCATACCTGTTAAAACGATTTGACTAATTCTTGTATCTAGAAAAAGAAATGCAAGTTATCAAATGTGCCAATAGTGAAAACATGTAAAAACTAGTAAAACTTAAAGTAAACTATAGGCTTATAAATAGATAAATTAAAGCAATGAATGAACAAATGAATAAACATATAAATAAAATACTTCTACTGATAAAAGATGACCATAATATTTTTCAACCTTTTCTTCAAGTGTATATGATGCATAATGTTATATAAACATGCTTTTATCCAAGGTCAAATAAGTTTATACCTAAAAAAAAAGCCTAACTAATTCTTTTATTTTTTACAAATTACATAGATTATCATCTGCACTAAAAGTAAAACTGTATTCAACCTAGTCAGAACAGTCGAAACAGGCTGGTAATATATCAATGGAGCAATTTTTTTCTGAGGGAAACAATTTCACAATCATGTCTGTGTCTCAAGAATATTGCATGTCACTAGGAAACATTGGATTATTGAACACGTGACTGAAAAGACCCCGGACCAAGAAACTTGTCTTGAAAACAGTTCGTACTTAAAGAATTCATCGCTATACAGAATCATATAGCTTTACAATTTTTTTTATCAAAGTAATTCCCTTTCATTCCGGTCTGAACGTCATACAGAGAAACGTAGTTTGTATATAACTAAACGTTATAAAGCCAGGGTAATAATTGGGAGCGCCAGGAGGGACAAATTTGACTGACATGAGCGCTATACAAGAACCCACTACTATTATTATTATCATTTCAAATGAACACTCGATAAACAGTCATGGCACCGTACTTGTCTGATCATGAGGGCACACCGATGCTAAACCAGCTGTCATGACAACTGCCTTCTTAGATAAATACAATATTAATTTTAGCAGTCAGTCCGCCCCTTACGCTTTATACGACAATCCTTTGTACGGTGTCTGCATCTCAAGACTATCGCCTATCACCAGGAAACACAAAGGATTATGAAACGTGCCACCTGAAAAGACCCTGGGACCGAGAAAACTTGTCTTGAAAACATAAGACACAAGAGTCAGGGTCAAGTTGAATCAATGTGGCAAATACATTAAGTGATCCCGCAAATAGACACTGCTGATGCCAAATAAAAGCTGGAAATTTCAATATTTGCGCATGATCCCACATGATGTTATTTGTGTACTCTTTGCAATCTGCGCATGGCGTCCTCAATGGATTCTCTACAAGCATCAGTGTTGCAACATGCATAAATTCCTCGGCAGTTTGGATAACAATTGCAATGAGGGATAATGTTTGTGATGTCATGGATTGCAGAAGAATGTAGACAATTTCAAAAATAAAATTGCTGTCGTATGAAGCAGGTATTCAAAAAATGTAACATATACTGCCATTTCGTCAATTTCATTTGCTGCACTTTGCACAAAGACTGACAAGGGTTCTAAGATATGAATTTTTAATATAGACAAAGAGATGAATATAGAAGAGGGTACAAGGTTTGGTCGGATCGAAAGTGGACAGAAAGAGAAGCAGGGTCGACCCTGACAACGGGACAATTGCAATGAGGGATATCGTTTGTCAAGTCATGGATTGCAGAAGAATGAATACAATTTTATAAAATTGCTGTAGTATTACTACATTTATGAGGCAGTGGCGAATTAGTAAGTCTGCAATTCTTTGGTCTTTGCCATTTCCTGCATATTGAACAAAGGTCTTACAATATGGATTCTGAAAATCCAGGATAATGGGAATAAATAGGAGCAGGGTCAAACCTGAAAGCGCACCAAATGTGAAATACTATTTGTACAGTCATAGATTATACTTATAGAAGAATGTTCATGATTCTTTACAAATTTGCTGTAGTATGACAAAACTACAAGGCAGTAGAGAGTTTTCTATGTTTATATGTATGTAACTGCTGCCTAATGAACAGAGATAGACTAGATTCTAGTATGAAGAGTAGAAGACTGAATGTCAACGCGGTGATGGCGAGATTAGAAGGGGCAGGGTCAATCTTTATGAGAGAAAGAAAGATAAAGGTAGAAATAGAAACAGATATACAACAATCAAATAGAAACTGATAGAAAAAGAAAGAAACAGAGATAGATAAGGAAACATATAAAGTAACGCAGACAAGTGGCCAAAGGAAAAGGATGAATAATCTAGGTTGTCTCAATTACTAATGGTGCAATCATGTAAAGGCATTGGAATGACAAAGAGATTTAATTTAATTGCAAAGTGGCGGGGAGGGGTGGGGAGATGATAATGATTATGGTGGCGAACAAAAGAAAGAGATGAAAAATTGAAACGAAGAGCGAAATATACCAGACAGTAGGTATCTCACCGTGACTCATACACCCACTGTTCATTATTTTCACCGTATATCTTTAGCCAAGAGAGAAAACACATTAGCTTTGTATGGGTCTGCGAAATGTCATTTCAGAGGAATATGCCATTTAGGAGATGTCAAACTAAATTGATCTATGAGCTACAATTCATACGGTGTAGATGGATGATTCATTCCGAGTTTCATGACCAACCAAGGCCCCAAGTATTCACAGAATTTTCTACCACTTTGCGATAATGAATACACATTTGAATCAAGTTCGAGTTTTTCATTTACCGCACGCAGGAGTCTCTCTAATTTAGCCCCGTTCATATGTGCCGGCTCCCTGTCGAAAGTCACAAACAGTAAATTCTGCCCTTTTAAAGGAAATACTACCGATATGCAGATCAGATAATAATAATAATAATAATAATAATAGCCTAATAGTCCACTCCAAATTTTATTAAACCGAAACAGAAATTCTTTTTGCCCAATTGATCAGCGCAATACCAGAATATTTTTGTATTATTATAGTATTGCCTTGCTAATTTTAACAAAGATCAAGGACAAAACTTCTGAACGATGTACATCCGGAATGCTGTTTCATTTGCAAATGTGGAACGGGTATCCCCTACCCCCAATTTTGTTATTATGTAGTTCTTGGAGAAGCATTCAGCTTTAAGTCTAAAACTAAGATACTTGTAATTTCACTTGTCTCACTAAAAGCTATTCTTAGAGACAAGAGGCTTTTAAAATTATAAGTGAGAGGAAAGACAGATCGAGTGAAAGGAGAAGGAACCAGATGGATGAGAACTGAAATGAGTGACATGGAAAAAAGAAAAACTCCCACACACAGAAAACTTTATTTCTTGTGTGATATGTTAATATTCTTCTTTTGTGAACATCATATGGCAATATGTCTATCAACAAATGAACCACTGTATAGCAAAACAGATTTTTAGGATTGTATATTTGTGTTCGTCCACATAACTTATATCTGCACGATAAATAATTAAAAATAAAGATTACCTTATAGCTGTTTCTCTGGCATGCAATTCTACTATTAACAGAACTAAAAATATGTGGTCATTCCAAATGATATTTCTACTGCATGATAAACTTCAAGGCATTACTGCACACTATTTTCACCTGCAATATAAGCTTCGTTTGAGTGCCCAAGGATTCAATGATAAAAGAAACGGACCAGAAAAGATGACAAAGCTAGGCTATGCCTGGATACATAATTACAATATTTGAAAGGCTTGAATCAAAATCTGTGATCGACTGCATGGATTCGCTCAAGTGATGTTTCTGTATTTAATCCGTGTTCAGACCATTTGTTAGGATTGGCTATATCACTATATGATAATCAGATAGCCATGCGATATTGAAGACATAACAGTGGGCTCTCTTTTTAGAATTCAACACCATTCGGGATTTACCCAATAATAGGTGTTAATTGTCAATCACCAGGATTTAAGCCTTCAGTTCATGACCAACAAGCCTTATGTAATGCTCTGCATTTTCCACCAATCGCCCCATACAGAAAAGTCACTATCTTACCGGTGCATTTCCCTCACCGAAGACTCTCCATGAGACCAGGGGGTATTTCTTGATAGGACTACGGTTTCGCTGTGTGTGAGACTTGTACACCCATTAATGGTATTTCCACAAAGTCTGGTGTCAGCGATCAATAATGACCTACTGCACATGGAAACTGACAAGCATCTCCCTTTAAATAATATTTTCCTGAGTCTGAACTTCTTTTGAAGAAATGTTGTATAGCGAAATATCGTGTAGAGAAACACACATTTGAGCAACGTCTTTAGTCCATGATACAGATTTTATGCGACACGATTCAGCAGTTTTTATCAAACTGGAGAACACAATTGGCTTTTCAACATTTCTTTACAAATACAGTTGCAAGTCGGCTGAATATATAATGCCGTCGGGTTGACTGACTGACTGACTCAAGCTCCAATTGTGTTTAGTGCATTATTTCCCAGGTCGAGATTCGAGATATGCATCTCAAACAGATGTTTATGTAGTGTATTATCTAAATAGGCAGTTTGTAAGAGTTCAAAAGAACCATGGTTATACAAAAGTTCTGAAATAAGGGGAGTTTATCATCTCAATCGATCATTCTATGAAGGAAAAAAATGATATTGGCTCCTTTTAACTTCAACAAGCAATTTGCACGAACCTCTAACAACTATTTTGTATGTCAGGGTTCCATATTCTTTATTCAAAATATGAGCTTTAAATATTACTTCTAAAAAAATGACTTGTTGCAAATTTACATACATTCTCAAAACAAAAACAGAACGCATGGTGAAGACTATTTTCTTCATACTCATTATCTGTTATGTTTTGGAGGTTGATTTAATACATTCTTGGCTTCTTGCTATATACACAATTTTATTTTCAATACCAAAACTTTTTTTTTGCCGACTTAAAAAACAGTAGAGGACCTAGGATAGAACCTTGTGGTACGCCGTATAATAGAAGAAAAATTGGAGGAATTATTATTATAAACTACATATTGAAATCTATCAGAAAGATTACTTTCAAACCAAGATGACAGACAAATTTGAGTGTTGTTCTAGTTTCCAAGTGGTGAGTCAACACACCGATTACTGAGCTGGGAGACATTGCCAGGAATAGCGCCAGGTGAAGGGGCATAAATCAAAACTTTTTGGTGTACCGTGTATAAACCGCACAACTGACTTTGAATTTTTTTCGGCGGCAAAAAGGTGCGGTTAATACACCGTTAATTACGGTAGGTGATTATTAAACTAAAGGTACCATCATCTAAATTCATACCATGAATAAGAGAAATAGACAAGTGCATATTGTCTGTTTGGAACCAGAAGGCGTTAACTCGTAAAAAAAAAAAAAATAACTAATACTAAAAAAAATATATGTATTACACAGACTTAATATCCTTCTGGCTCCAAACAGATGGTATCTGAAACAAATAGCAAGGTTGCAATAACGATAACGGAAAAAACATATATGTGGAAAATGTATGGTGCTCACTGAAAATATAATTAGTGGCTTTCAGCACTGATTTCATTGGATTGTAGGCTTATACCTTTTCGTCAGAGACCGATTTCACTATTATCTTTGATTTATGAATATGGCCATTGACCAATCCTTTATTCTGCTTCCCAAAAGACTGACTAGAATTAGGAAAAGTCACTTACCTTTGATTAAAAGAAATCGCTTCTGCTCAAAGCTGCATGGAGTGAGCTGATCTCAGTTTGTTAAAACTTGTCCCTCCAGATTCCTATGAAATACAAAACAAGAAAATTAGAATGATTAAGACATCTTCAAAGTTCAATCCATACTAAAAATCCATAACAGAGAGAGCAACAGGAAACGTAATAACAATTAAACAACAACAAAAACAATGTCAACAACAGCAAAAACAATGTAAACAACAGCAACAACAACAACAGCAACAACAACAGGAGCTACATTGCTCACATACCAGTATCTATCCAAGTGGGTGCTCAAGGTATATACCTGCTAGTACACAGTGCTATAATTACCCTGGCTTTCGCAGATCGCATTTTAACATGTTACAATATGGCAACAGTTCACAGTTCAAAGTTGACAGTATACTGCTCTGATTACACAAATCTAATTGTTTGATATATTTGTAGAAATTGTTTTCATTCTATCATTATCTTGGGGGATAAAATGATGCATGATTCAGTCACTGTGAAAGAGTCTCTGATTGATTTCACACTATATTACGTACTCCTCTTGGGATTGTTTTAAGGTAGGATGATAGGCCTGTCCTCATCAGCTCAAGTTTGCCACATAACCTGCTATTTTCAGACTCTGGATATTATCCCGAAGCTCGGGATTGCGTCATCCCCAGACCTATACACATACACAAACTAGCTCGGATGGACGCAATTAGCCCGCTATTTCCCAAATGGCGGGATATTTCGGAAACAAATACAATATTTCTCTGGATATTTTCTCGACCAAATATCCCGCTAATTGCAACTGCGGGCTGATGAAAATGCAAATTAATTGGCTAATTTGAGATTGGGATAGTTAAAATAGCAGGTTATTTAGCTAACTCAAGCTGATGAAGACAGGCTCAGTGAGGCTTTCTGCTCTTAGAACCGGAGTCCTGAGACACCCTTGGGCCAGGAGAATGGACCTCGACAATTAAACAACTGTCTCGTGTCATTAGAACCTTAATTCATGGAGAAAATAGTTGCATCTTCAGCACCTTAGCACTCCCCCTTTCTCCATCTCGTATGACTACCCTGTACAGAGTCTAGTATATAGACACGCAGTATATACAAAGTTGGTTCCAGACTATCAAATTTGGACCATACAACTTAACGAGTCCAATGATTCATTTACTTGGGAGGAATCATGAATACGTAAATCAATCTCAAAATCTACCATGTTCAATTCTTTCACTACTCTACTCAAAGAATAAACTAATTCCAATTATTGAAACATTTTAAAATGAACTGTCATTACTGCTCATAAGTCATAGTACAATAAAAAAATAAAAAATAAAGCTACCCCGTACAAAAACAAATTTTACGCTCAATAGATTCCTATGCGCATGAATGGTATGTGATATACAGTTTCCCACACAGTGTATGCTACAGAGTATACAAACATTGCAGTTTAATCGGCAATGCTCAAAGATAAGGTCCATGTGTACATGTACTGTACATATAAACACACAATGGAATTTAAAGGTAAAGACCAGTATTGGAAACGCCCCAATTTCAAAAAATGAAATGGAAGCTCTCATTACCAATCATGTGAAAGAATATGTTTTGACTAATACATGATGATAAAAAATTTGCCGGGAAACCGCCTACTAAATCATATATTTGGTAAATTTGTTTCTCTCATGGTCTGTGAGAGATATAGGGTAGTCCCTTATACATCTTTCTGTGTATAGTGCTTGTAACTTTACGAAGAATGGGCCAAATTTCTTATCATTTTGATGATTCCAGAACCTTGCAGATGCTAGATGCTAGATAATCAACCTTTTCTGATCGATTCCACAACGTTTCTTTCACAATGCAATCGCATGACCATAACTGGTCTTTACCTTTAAAGTGAGACTTAGCCAAGAAGTAGTGACTATTCAAGATCATTTCAAAGTGAACGAGCCAAGTTCACAACCTCTTTGCATCTAATGCGATCATATCCTGCTCTTAAAACAACACTATTTCCCAAGCTCTAATATGACTATGGGCAAGCACCCCATAGGAGCTCCACTTCGTGTCTGTGTATTTAGCGGTCAAATTATGAATGGCGCCTGGATTAGGTTTCTTCCATGAAATTTTTGTCTTGCTCCTTCCTTTTCTCATCCCAATTCTTTTTGGATGTTGATGAAGATGAGATGATGATGATGATGATGTCCGGAGGCTATTGAAGAAGATCACCCATGTTCAAATATTTTTTTTTTTCTTCTTCACTTTTCAGCTTTTTATAAATCAGTAGCAGGATGGCTAGTAACTGGATACAAGTAAGATAAAAAGCTCAGTTTATGTTGACCCCAGCTGGCTTGGGAAGTAGAATATTTTGAAGGCTATTGAAGAAGATCACCCATGTTCAAAGATTTTTTTTTCTTCTTCACTTTTCATCTTTTTATGAATCAGTAGCAGGATGGTTAGAAACTGGATAGATGTAAAATAATAAGCGAGTTTTAGTTGACCTCAGCTGGCTTTTGAAATAGAATATTTTGAAGGCTAAGAGAGACACAAGGATGATTTTGTTGATTTGTGAGGGTGCATCATTGGCTGCCTGCAAGAAGGTCACTACTGCCATTGCTGCCATCTATAATACAGGCCTTCCTTGTAGCATTAGGTTCATGCTTGTACGCATCCGATAATGTCAACACTCCTAAATTTGTCTTTGGGATTTTTTCTTTAAAGCTTATCTGTACTAGTTTATAGGAGGAATTTGGTGACCCTGCAAGGTCACTGGACAGGTGGTTATCTCATAAAATCAGCTCTCAGTTAACATAAGATAAAGAGGATCATGGGGGAGCAATGGTCACCAATCAGGCATTGTTTTTTATATAGAGGGCGCAAGTAGCTACAAGTAGTGCAGTCCCGCTTTAAAGGGCTATTCTCACATGTACATGTAGCAATATGCGAAGTTCTTTAAACATTTATAACAAAAAAAGAGAGTATAATAGGGTGTGATGGTGGGGGAGGGGAGGGGAGGGGAGGGGGGAGAAGGAGGGTAGAGGGAGGGGAGGGGGAAGGAGAGGAGGGGAGGGGGAGGGAGGGAGGGGAGGGGAGGGGGGAGGGGAGGGGGGAGGGAGGAGAGGGGAGGGGAGGGGGGAGGGGAGGGGGACAGGTAGGGGAGGTTTTTTTGTTTTAACCCTTATAAATTATTTGAAGGAGCATGCATGGACTGAAATCCAGACCTGCACTCATGGAATTCTATTCATTTTTGAATCTTACTAATCAGAGACATCCGGAACTACTGCATTTGCAAACGTCAAATTTAAAAACCAGGAGCTAAACTTAACGTTTATGGACTCATATGTGAACTTTACTACTGTCTTCCCTATTCATCTGAACAACTTCAAGACAGGAAAAAACCCACATGGTCCCTAACTACAAAATGACATCAATGTTTAAAGCCACAAGCTAAACTTATCGTTGACGTACTCTCCTGAGAACCTAATGTCTTTCCCATTCCTCTAAACACCTTCATGAGTACTGAGCAAACATCCCTTAGTCATTTCATGTACATTTGCAGAAGAGATCACTCTAGTTAGTAAGCAAACAAGAAACTACAAGATGAGGGAGGATTCATGCACGCTAAGAGGCATTTACATGTACATGCAGTATGTTCCTTTGGTTTGTGCTATAAATAATGTTCACCACTTGTACCAGTAATATATGGGGAGTGGTGAAAAAAACAGCACAGTGGCATGCAAATAAATACTTACTATAATTGTTATCATTATTATATGAATATATCTTTTTTATGTGGGGTGGGGGGGGGGGGTCTGTCAGTCGATACATGAGCCCCTTTTGGTGTGGGGGATAAAATTAATGTGTCAAGAATTTAAATCCCCCCCAAAAAAAAAAAAAAACAACAACAACAATCATATTGAAATACATAGTGATTTTAGAATTGCAGAATATTCCCATTGTGATCACACCTGAGTCTGTTACAAAGGTTTAAAAGAAGATGAAATTTTGCCACTTTTGCAACATTTTACCTGCAATGCAAAAGGCACATCGTAAAACCCCATATCACATTTGTAATGTATCACAAAATGTCATGATCTTTCATCAAATCCCTCCTCCCCCTCTGGTTTCTGATTACTACAATCGCAAGAGATAAGTTTTTTCTACCAAACCACAAATATTTGCCACCAACACACATGAGAGAAACCCCAGGACCATATCCTTTGTTTGCAACGTTATAAAACCAACATTCAACTGGTTCAATATTGCAGTCAGATGATAGCAACTTTTGTGTGCGCGTGCAAACTATTCTCCTTATGCTACTACCTATGTATCTCTATACTGTCTAGAAGCCCGTTCAGACTAAAAGATATACACACGACACTTGTTTTAAGAAACGTTGTATAAAGAATCATCGTACAGCGAAAAGGAGCATAAAGACTAGAAAACAACATGGCATTAAAGAAATAAATTTTGAAGATGGTCAACTGACGTAACAGCTGGCCAATCATCAAAGCGCGCCGACAATAAGCCCCGCCCAGTTATACGATTTTAGTACGATAGGACGTTTAGACTAGAGCAGGCTGCTTATTCTTTGATGTTTTGTTTAAAACGTTGCTCAAACTTTTTACAACGTTTCTTTGTACAACTTTCATTATTCTTTTATAGCTACACAATTTATCGTGATACATTGAATGCAGGGTTAAAATGTTCACTCTAAAACAAGTTAAACAAGAGCTACTTATTAAGAGAAAAAAGAACACCCACAAAGCCATCTCTGCCAATCTGCTTGAACGTTTAAATTGAGCCCTTTGTCACAATGTTTGGCTCCTACATCTACATTGTATAAAACAAACATGAAAATGTTCCATTGTGTGCATACAAGCTTCTTTTGTGTAGCACGAAATCGTCTTTTCTCACACAGCTTTGTTCTTTGAGAATAGTGAATCGCGATACAGTTCGATACGGTTCGTTTGTTGCATTATAAACTTTGCAAAATGTTTGAGCATCAAAATAGAGTCCATTGTTGCTCTGTAAGGCTACAAACATGAAACTGTTTGATTGTAAAAACTCAGAGATATAC